CGCCCGCAGAGCTCGAGGACGGTACGGGAGGAAGCGGGGGACGGGGCTAGGGTGGGACCGGGACTCGGCGCGGCGCAGGCCTCGTGACTTCATCCCGCAGCCGGACCTGTTCTTCGCGTCGTTACAAGTGTATTCTTAACGATTCTTGCCATGAGAGGTGAAACTGGCCCAGGCGCCGCTGGAAGCTTAAACGTAACGGTGCTTGAGAATATTTGAGGGCGCTACCGTGCGTCTGTTTCACATCAAACTCTTTGCTCCCTTTTTCCTTAGCCGCGGAGGTGAACCCCTCCCTTTTTTTTTCCTCTGGTAATTGTCTCCTGTCGGGATGGTGGGGTTGGAAGCCTAATGAGCAGAGAGCTTGGAGGGCATTGGACACCTGGATTCTTATCTTTTTCCTTTTCGTTGTCTCTTTAGGACCAGCTTTCTCCACGGACCCTACCTTTCCCACTCCTTTGGCCCCACTCCACGACAGCCGCTTCCCCGTCATCCCCTCTTCTCTGGACCCCTCCACCCCCATGTTCCCTTGTCCGCTGCCTTCCCCTCCGGCCTCTTCCGCGGCCTTCCCCACTACCTCTCCCTCAGGTCCAGGCACTCACCTCCCCCTGGCTGGTTATCCCACCAGGAAAGGGGGAAGAAGGACCAGGACCTGAGCTGCACAGCGGCTGCCTGGATGGACTTAGGAGCCTTTTTGAGGGAGCCCCCTGCCCCTATCCTGGGGCTCTGATACCTTTCCAAGCCCCTGGGGCTGCCCACCCTTCCCCTGCCACCCCCTCAGGAGACCCTAGGATGGAGAAACACCTGGCTGTTATGTACGAGAGACTGAGACAAGAGGTGAGTTACTACAGGATTGGGCAAGGATGTAGGTAATCCTTGGTAATATCTTAGTCAACTGGAATCGCTTAGAACCAGGAGGTGGGCGTAGAACTGTTCTGTAAACATTTTTCTGAGAAAAGATGCTCCTCGTTTCAATTAAGGGAAGATGAAGATGGGATGAAATGACCTTTAACTCAGGGTGATAAGGAGGCCCTAAAAATAGAGTGAGAAATAGGATCATCTTTCCCTTCCCACGGAGTTGATGCTGTCATCTTCCATCTAGCTTCCCAACCTCTTCCTTCACTCCCACGACTACACTCTGTACTCATTGGATGTGGAATTCATCAATGAAATCCTGAACATCCGCACCAGGTGAGAACTGGGCCACCTTGGGGAAAGAAGAGAACTCAGTGCTGTGCGCTTGGCCCTTTTCACTTCCGGGGTCCTAGGTTGCTTCACACACCTTTCCCCTTTCTTCAGACAGAAGCCAGTTTGGCTTTCCAATTCTGAGACTTCTTTTCCATCCCTCTTCCCAGGGGCCGGACCTGGTACGTTCTGTCACTGACTCTCTGCCGATTCCTGGCCTGGAACTACTTTGCCCAACTCCGGCTGGAGGTTCTCCAGCTGACCCGACACCCGGAGAATTGGACCTTGCAGGCCCGGTGGCGGCTCATAGGCCTCCCCATCCATATGTTCTTCCTGCGTTTCTACAAGCGTGACAAAGTGGAGCTTTACCGGTGAGAAGTGGGAAAGGAGCTTAGGCTACACACTTAAGACCCTGTCTCAAAACACAGTAACACCACACGGTGAAAGAAAGGGCCCACACCACAGTGGTTTCCCTAATCCTGCCCTTTAGGACTGATGATCTCATCTGCTAGTCCTTCACCTCCCCTCACCTGAGGATAGGGATTGTGTTTGTCTACTGTAACAAGAACAGGGATTTGGGGCATAGGGAACTCTGAACTTAAGTTTCTTCACGCACTTTTATCTGGCACATGGTGGACGCTCAAGCACTTACTGAACAAATTAAAGTTGCTGCCTCTGAATTGAACTAAAAAAACTTAAGTACCTTAAGTACCTCTTAAATGTCTGGCTTGCAGAATCTCAAGAAACTACCAGATTTAGCTTCAGCTATGGTATGTAAGTATTTAAACCACCAGTCCCCAAACTCTGCTACACAGTGGAATCACCTATAGATCTTTAAATAATACAGGTGCCAGACACTGCTTTTGTTGCTCAGGATACGTGAACAGGGATTTTTCAGAAGTCCCCAGGTGAATAATTTGTAGCCAAATCTAGGAACTTCTCCTTGAAACATGCTTATGCTTTGGGTAAGCCTTTTGCTCCCTTCCCCAGGACCTACGATGCCTATTCCACCTTCTACCTGAATTCTAAAGGCCTCATCTGTCGACATCACTTGGACAAAGTGAGTCTTGGGGCAAGGAGGTGAGATGAGGGGCAGAACATCTGCGCACCTCACCCTGACTGGCACTAACTTTTCTCCTGACAGCTGATGCCCTCCCACTCGCCGACCTCACCTGTGAAGAAACTGCTGGTCGGAGCCCTGGTAGCCCTGGGGCTGTCGGAGCCAGAACCCTGCTTGCAGTTTTACTCCAAGGCCTAAGTCAGGAACTGGGTGGGGGCAGCACTGAAGATTCTGCTACGCACAAGAGGAGGTGGAGGCAGCCAACACTCAATGTTCAGAGCCTCCCCCTTCTCCCTAACTTCTACCTTTCCATCTCATGCTGTGTAAAGCTGCTGTGTAATTTAACCTGTACATCATAAAGTTTAAGTGTTATGAGATGGAATTTCATGTGGTGCTTTCTTTGGATCCCAAAAAAAACTTACTCCAAAAATAATTTTATTTAATAGATACTAAAACAATGTATAGAAAGAAAAGGAGGAGCTGCTGTTGGGTTCCATTCATGTCCCCTTCTCTACCCCAGCTCTTCTCGTGTCTTGCCTACTTTTTTGGGCATTTTCTTAGCATGGGGATCTTCTAGTTCCTTAGCCTTGTAATAGTGAGGAGCCACTTCCAGAAGCCAGCTGCTCTCAATCTCCAGCACCTACAAGAGAGAGGATCCGTAAAGTTCCCTTCTTTGCCAACGTAGACTCTTAGGCGTGTAGTCAAAGGCTCTCTGTTCCCTGACTGTGGGCCCAGAAAAAGTGGCTGGCTCTGTTACAGGCCCCAGGGCAGATGTGCCTCTTCAGGAATTCACAACAAGCCAAGCCTGAGAGAAGTCGGGATCCAGGAGACAGAAACCCAGTCTGTGAAGACAGACTCCGTCTGCTATTTACCACCTTAAACACTGAGACTAGATAACCAGATAATGTGAATGAACAACAGTTCTCGAATCTTGGAAGAGGCTGAGACAAGCTGTCAGCAAGGATAGCTTTCTGTTTGATCGTCCCTTAAAGTAGCGATTTCCGGTTTCTGTATCAGCTCTGGCAATCTGAACTTGTGTCCACCTGCCAGCACACTGCCTCCAGTCTCTTACCTACCTGGGGACCACTGTCCCTCACCTGTCGCATGAACTCCTTTGTGGTCAAGACAAGTTCGTGGTAGAGCAGCCAGCGAGGCTGCTGCTCAAACAGGGAGGAGTTGGGATGAATGAACACTGTCTGCTGCTGTTTGACTGTGCGGTAGCCGCTGCGTGTCAGCCGCGCTGTGTGGTAGAAGTACCCGGCAGTGATGGCCTAAGGAGCAAGCAGGCACGTCAGTGGGAAAGGCAGACATTGGAACCTCAGGCTGTTACTTCAGGCTTCTGGAGAGCCAGGAAGGTGAGCCATGCCTGAAGAACCCACTGAGAACATGGGCTAGGATGCTGCTCAGTGGCATTGCATCTGCCTTGCAAGCTCAAGGACTGGAGTGCTATCCCCAGTACAAAAAATGAAACAAACACTGAGAACAAATGTCACTGGCTGGAGGAAACCACTGGAGAGCACGTTTTACCCGGAAGAGCCGCTCGTCGGGAAACAGTGCTGACCTTGCGCACACGGATGTAGTCCCCCTGGCAGGAGCTGAGCCCCACCTCCACACGCTCCAGGAGCCCCTCTAGCTGCTCCCGCACGTCCCGGGCTCGGCGCATGGAGCGGAACTGCACGAAGTTCTCGTAACACCACTGAGAGGAATAGCCACTCTCAGCCCACTGAAAAGAGCACAGGAGAAAGGGAGGGGCCCTGAGTACGTGACAGGCCTGCGGCCCTCATGTCGTCCACGTTCCCACTTGCCACGCCCAGGGACCTGCGTGTACACGTTCAACAGAACGAGGTGGTCGCCGCCAGGGAGGAAGAAGTTGACTCGAGCATTGTCGGCATGAACGACCTTGTCCTTGGGTCGGTAGAAGATGGAGTTGTTGACAGAGAGCATGGCGGCCACTGTCAGGATCTCCTCTGAACAGCTGTACCTGGGTGGGAAAGGCAGAGGATGAGCGCAAAGCAAGATACTTTGGAGCAGGGATATCAGGGGGAAGAGGTCCCTCACGTCACTGGTTGGAGATGGCCGCACTCAGCTAGCAGATTCTGTTGGCAGCAGACCAACCCGGTTACACAGGAGGGCAGGGCAGAGGTGCCAGGGCCCTAGAGGGGCTGCAGCAGGGACGTGCCCACGAAGCGCTGAGCCTAAGTGTGGTGCAACAATGACATTCAGAGGCACCCACAGCCACAGCAACTGTGTCCCTCTGCAATCCCATGAAGCAGCAAGTTCCCAAAGCAGCTGTACTCCGCACCCTTGCCGTATGGAGTCCTTCACTGCCATCACAGCCTGGGTGGGACAGTGTTCCACAGATCCTCGAAGAGGGGACTTACAGTTTGGTTTCTCTTCTGTAGTAACGGGGTATGAACCCCAGCCCCTTCTTGAGCTACATCCCCAGCCATTTATTTTTTTTTAATTTGTTTTTTTGAGAGAGTGTAAGCTGCCTAGGCTGGCCTTGGAATTGCAATCTTCTTGCTTCAGCCTACCAAGCAGCTGGGATTCAGGGATGCACCAACCATACCTGGCAACTACTCTGCTAACTTGTTTTTGCTTTGTTTCTATGGAACTGGGATTGAACACAGGACCATTGCCCTGCGCTGTCTCCAGCCTTCTCTGTTGCTTTTATTTTGAGACGGGCTTGCTAATTCATTACGTTGCCCAAATTGGGCTTCAAGTTGCAATCTTCTTGCCTCAGTCTTCCAGAGTGCTAGAGTTACAGGCGTGTATCACCACACCCTGCTGAACATGTTCAGGATGCGATGTAATTCATAAGTCTCACTGCTAGGCAGTTTAAACCACCAGTGGTATACACACGGCTGTCCCACTGGGTGACTTTTCATTAAGTTTATTAGCAAAAAGACCAATAAAAATGATAGATATGTTCGTACTCCTAGTGGTACAAGCTTCCCAATGGGACAGTCACATGTGTACCACCAGTGGTTTGAGTTGGCAGGGACATGTTAATCATTTGTTAAAGAATATTATGAAGCCTTGTGAGCACCAGGTCAAGTTCAATATCTGGCACTGTAAACAGAAAAAAAAAAACAAAAAACGAAAAGAATATTTTGAAGGCTCGGCTAGTTCACATGCTGGGGCCCGGGCAGTGGGAGAGCTTACTTCTCCGAGGCCAGGATCATTTTAGACAGCATGGGGTCCACCGGCAGCTCTGCCATCTTCCGCCCAGACTAAGGAAAGGAAACAGGGTGAGGCCAGTTCTCCCCAGGTCCCCCCACCCTGGCCCGTGATGGGGGTCCGGAGCCCCTCACCGTGGTTAGCTCCCCAAGGTGGTTGAGTGCTCCCAGGGCGTACAGTTGCTCCAGAGCCAGCAGCAGGGTCTCATATGGTGGGGGGTCCAGGAAATCAAAGTGCATCAGATCATGGATCCCTGCAGAAGTGGGAGTGGCAGGTGAGTCTGGGCAGGACCGGTGAGCCTCGCCCCCGTACGGGAGGCGCAGGTCACCCAATCACCCAAGCTCTTGAGCAGCAGCACAACATTGCCCAGGCTGGTCCTCTGGATCTCAGGCACCGTGGTCTCCTCCAGCTCGTGTTGATAGGCCCAGGCTGTGTACAGGCGGAAGCACTTCCCTGCAGCCACTCGGCCCGCCCGGCCAGCCCGCTGGTTGGCAGAGGCCTGGAAAGACAGGAGGCAGCTGGCTGAGGCCTTTCAAGGGAAAGGGCAGTGTCTATGCACAGACTCCTTGAGGATGCAGCTGCCAACCCTGGCTCTGAGCAGCTCCCGTGCTGCCTCTATGCCAGACCTGCACAGACCCCAGGCTCACCTTGCTGCAGGGCGTGACCGTGAGTGACTCCATGCCTGTGCGTGGGTTGTAGCTCTTCTGCTTGCAGAATCCTGGGTCTAGCACGTAAATGATGCCCTCAATGGTGAGCGAGGTCTCGGCAATGTTTGTTGCCACAACCACCTGAGGGAAAGGACTCGGGGTCACCCAGATGTTCCTCCCACTGAGTGACCCTGGAAAGTAGGCAGTTACAGGTGGAAGCTGAGGAAAGGGAGTCTGAGGTCAGGAGAGGAGACCGAGCTGGCAGAAGAGACGATGGGGATGGCAGTCTGCAGAAGGGGTCCCCCACCCCGAGATGGGAGCCGAGTCTTCTCCACCAGCTCTCTACTCATCTTCACACCTCACTTCCTGTCAGTCTCCTGGCAAGTGTCCCTACTTCTACGCCTAGCCCTCATCACGTGGCATCCAGAACGGTCCCTTGAGAATTCAAAGCTGGCACCTTGCTGTCCAGTCCTTCAGTGACTTCTCACAGCTCTGGAATCAAACACAAACCTGCAAAGCCTGATTCACGGGGGCCTGGCAGGCTTTCTACCCTCATCTCCTAGCACCAGGCCCTTTGCTGAAACATTGGCCTCGGCTGCTTCCTCAGCTCAAGTCCCCGCTTCCTTGCCTATCGTGCCACACCCCTCCAGACGTCTGCTGAGCTCCCGCTACCACCAGGCACGATGGGTTCACACGTCCATCCTCCCCATCAGATGGCCAGCTCTGTGCCCGCAGGGACTTCCTTGCTCATCTCAGCGTCCACCTGCCACCAACACTGGGCACCAGAAAGGCCACATGCACTGCCTCCCAGTGCAAGTGCTCCACCACCTACCGACACTCCCTGCCCTTCATTAAATATTTGCTCAACGAAAGTCCCATCTCTGCTCAAAATACTGTCAAGCTCAGTGGGGCTGCCGCCTGTTTCACAAAGCGTAAGGTCCTAAGTTCGATCCCCAGTACAAAAAAAAAAAAATCTTCTGACAGCCAGTCGCTCCACTGAAGTCCGAGCCCTCCTGCCAGCGCCAGAGGTCCTGCTCCACCTCAGCCCTGGGGGCCTGCTGGCCACTGTAGCAGCATGGAACCCACCACTCCACCCTGACCTCAGACACTCCTGGGCCTGCCTGTTTCCCCCTCAATGTTCCCAAAAGGGCCATATTAAATTCCACCTCTGCACTGCACCTTTATATGCAGTGGGGCCCTGGGTCTCTTCCAACTCACCCTCTCCATCCCGGAGCAAGGGCCTGTCTGCTTGCCACTGTGTCTGCAGGAGCACCCAGCTCCCACCTAGTTTGGGGCAGGTGCCATGGGGGAACCGCGGGGCAAGTTGTGGCCTTGCCAACTGACCTTGCGGGCCCCGGGTGGCGTGGGCTGGAAGATGCGGGCCTGCATGTCTGAGGGCAGGTTGGCATAGATGGGCAGCACCAGGAGCTCACGGATCTTGGAGCCCAGGCGGCGGCAGCGGTCCTGGAGCATCTCACAGGCTGCCTCGATCTCCTCCTGGGTTTGGGGCAGAGACAACAGAGGTCCCGGGATCCTGGAGGCCCACAAGTGGGCCCCATGTCCCAGGATCCACTGTCCCTTGCCCGTACACCACACACCTGCCCTGTCAGGAACACCAAGATGTCCCCGGGGGGCTGCGTCACGTGGATCTGCAGCACCGACACCACACAGGCTTCTAGGTAGTCTGCCTCAGGAGCCTGGGGGCAACAAAAGACCGGGTGACAACAGTGCCAGCTGCTTGGGAAACCCCTCCCGCTGCCTCTCTGGACTAGCCATCCCGCCTCCTCTGCTGGGGCAGTCTCCAAAGGCCCTGCTTTCTCCGCAACAGACCAAACCCATCTCTCCCAAGTGGGCACCTTGGTATAAAAGATGTCCACAGGAAACCTGCGACCCGGAATTCGGAAGATGGGGGCATCATCAAAGAAGGTGGAAAATCGGGCAGTGTCCAGCGTGGCCGAAGCTACCAGGACCTTGAGCTCAGGCCGGAAGCGAGCAACATCCTTGATTAACCCGAAGAGAATATCTGTGTGCAGGGTCCGCTCATGGGCCTCGTCCACCATCACCACACTGGGAAGGGACAGGCGCAGTGAGGGAGGCACGAGGGTGATATGGGCTGCACTGCGCTGATGACGGGGGATGGAGGATGTCTGGAGGCTCCAAGGAAAAGCCCAGTGCCTGCTGCCAAGAGCCATGGCAAAGGCCCACCTACCCTGCAGAGCAGCCGAGGCATCACGCTGGAAGCCCAGCCGGGCTCGGCTCTGGGTACAGGCCCTTCCTCTCCGGGGTCCTTGCTTTGGTTTTCTGGGTGGCAGCCCAACCCACAGAAGTTCATCCCAGCCCAGCCCTGTGTACTCCACCCTGGCAGATAAGGATGGGGATGTAGCTCAGCAGTGCAGTGCCTGCCTGGCAAGCACAAGGCCCTGAGTTCAATTTCTGGTACCAAAAAGACCAAACCAAAACAAAAACACCCTGAGGATGAAGCCCTCCACAGAAACCCTCCCCGAAGATAGTCTACTGCCTGGTCCGCCTGAGTCTCAGAGATTTGTGCAAGACATGTGAAGGGTCAAATTGTATCTTGCGAGGAGTCCACTGTGACCTTCCAGGACTAGAAAGTCACAGCCTCCGAAAAGCTGAAAAGCCACCTACTAGGTGGGCACAGTAGCACAACCCTATAATCCCCATAACCTGGAAGGCTGAGGGAGGAGTATCGCCAAATCCAAGCCCAATGTGGGAAATTTAGCAAGGCCTTGTCTCAAAAAATAAAAAAATGCGGGCCGGGGATTTAGGTCAGTGGTTCTGATGCCCGCCTTGCAAGCGCAAGGACCCAAGTTCGATCCCCATACCAAAAATAGAATAAAAATCGGGCTGCGGATTTAGCACAGTAGCACCATGACTCATAAGTGCAAGGTCCTAAGTTTGAACCCTGATTTAAAAAAAAAAAAAAAAAAAATTAAGAAAAATGTTTTTAAATTAAAAAACGACTGGGGACGTAGATCAGTGCTAAGGCCCAGGGAGGGGAAGAATCCGCTGTTCAACCTCCCCATAACCCATTGTGAATCCCTCCTTCCCTCACACGTGCTCAGCCAGCCCTGCTTGGCCATTGCCGGTGCTGAGAGCTCACTGGTCACAGACAGAGCCGGCTGAGACAGCGGCTCCAAACACTTCTAGGAGCCTCGCTGGGCCCACGATCCTGCCCTCCAAGCATTTCCGCACACCCTCCTCAGGGCCCAAACACCATGTACTCTGCCATCCTGGTGTCTGAACCCTGGGAGCAAATGGGGAAGGTGGGCAGAGGCTTTCTCCGCAGTGTCCACTCTGCAGCCCAGCTCAGACTGAGACAGAGACTGAAAAACTGGTGGGTTATTCAGAAGACAATGTCCAAAGTGGTAGGGGAGAAGGAAGATGAAAGGAAAGACACAGGAAAGCGCAAAGCAGGACAGAGAAGACAGGGCTGTCACGTGGGAGGCAGGGCCGCCTGCACACCTGTAACTTGCCAGGTCCGGCTCGGAGAGGAACTCGCGGAGCAGCATCCCGTCTGTCATGTAGCGGAGGACCGTCCGCTCTGACGTGCAGTCCTCAAAGCGGATGCTGTAGCCGACCTGGACAAGGGGGCCGTTGGCAAACAAAATTGCGCTGAATGAGAAGCCAACACCCGCGGGGCGGGCCCCAGGGTGGGCGGACTGAGTGCCCCCAGAACCCACCTCATTCCCGAGCTTCACACCCATCTCCCGGGCCACGCGGGCAGCCACACTCATGGCTGCCACTCTGCGGGGCTGGGTGCAGGCGATCTTCATACCCTTCTTCGTGTAACCCTGAGGGACAAAGGAGACGGAGGTCTGCTGGCTGAAGATATCCCTGACCCAGCCACAATTCAGAGGCAGAAGCTGGAGGAGCCAGGCAGCGCAGGGGGAGAGGCCAGAAAGAGGCAACAGCCCGGAGACGGATGGAGCCCCACAGGGGTGCGAGGCTCGCCGCGCCTAGGCCCGTGGGTGACAAGGACAGAGCATGGCGAGACTGGGCTGGAAAGGGAAGCACAGCTGAGCAGACCCAGGAGCAATGGGAGACAGAGAAGGGCGAAGGGCAAGGACACAGCCCTCCCTCAGCACGGGGAGGGTGTCCACAGCCGCACCCCACGCTGTATACACATCCTGCAGCCTGGAGGCAACGGACGCCTGCCAGGCAGGCGCACCGGGCAGGAGTGAGAATAGAAACGTGGGAGAGGCGCGGCCCTCCTTCTCAAGAACCTCTTGATTCATGCGGCAGATCGGTGAGAGACACCTGGAGAGCACTCGAGGGCTCGGCAGGGCTGAGGCAGCGCGCCCATCGGCCTCCCAGGCAGTGGCGACCGTACCTCCTCGAAGAGGTACTGCGGGATCTGGGTGGTCTTCCCCGAGCCTGTCTCGCCTTCGATGATGAGGACCTGGTGGTCTGCGATGGCGGCCAGGAGCTCCTCCCGGAAGGGGAACACAGGGAGACTGCGGCGCACCGCCTGGATGGACTCCTTCTGCTGGGCCTGGGCTGAGGCGGGCGGAGCTGTGGGCTCCTGGGGGCGAAGACCTGTGAGGCCCAGGGCCGAGGGGCCTTCCACTCACCCCTCGGGCTGGGCCCTCCGCTCACCTCGTCGCCCTGCAGCTGGGTGGCGCGCACGAACTCGATGGTCTCCTCCTCCTCCAGCACCAGCTGGTACCTGGGCTCCTGCGAGGTGGCGTCTCGGGCCCCAAACTTCAGGGATGCTGCCCCCAGGCGGGCCTCCTCCCAGCGCCGCTGCTCCTCCCCGGGGGCGCCTGACTCCTCCTCCACCAGGTCCACAGCTCGCGCTGGCTGTGGAGGGGGCGCGTGAGGGCACGAGGACAGGGCGGTCCCCTCTGTCCAGGGCCCTGCTCCCATGGTCACCATGCGCCACGAAGGGTGAGAGAGAAAAGCAGGAGCATCTGGCCCCGGAGGCGGCCGCTCACCTGTCCGCGGGTCTCCTTGGGCATGTGGTAGCGGTTGGTGGCCTCCAGCTTCTCCTGCTCCCCGGCCGCCCGGTACTCCCGGGCCAGGTCCCGCACCCGCCGCTTGTACTTGAGCTCCCGGAGCTCGTGGCGGCTCAGCTCCACGTCGCCGAAGAGGAACTCCTCGTCAGCCAACTCGGCCTCCAGGTCCTCCAGCTTCTCGCGCTCCCGCTTCGCCAAGTACTCACGGCGGGACTTCTTCCGCAGCTCAGGAACCTGGGCCAGGGACCCGCGCCAGATCCTGACCTCCTCCCCACCTATCCCAACCAGCGCCGTGCCCCCACCGCCCTCCCTTGGGTCCACGGGGCCACTCAGGAAAGCACTGCCCTCGCTGCAGAATCTGGCTGGACGCTCCCTGGGCAGGGCCACCCTGTCAGCACCGATCCACTAGGGCGACTGTTGGATTATTTTGCTGTTTTGTTTGTCTTTGGAGTCAGGGTCTCACTCTATAGTTCAGGCTGGCCTTGAACTCACTATGTAGCTAGCACAAGCTGGCCTTAAACTCACAGTGATCCTCCTGTAGGGCAATTAGTGGATACTTTGCTCTTACTATTTTTCTCCAAATTAGTGAAAAGGGACAAAACAAAAAGGCTGATTGAGTCTTTTTCGCAGTACTTAGAATTGAATCCAGGGCCTTTGCACTAAGCCACTCCCCCCAGCCCTTTCTAATCTTGAGACCAGGTTTCACTAAGTCACTAACTTGCCCAGGTCAGCCTTGTACTTGGGAGGCCCCTGCCTGAGCCTCCCAAGTGCTGGGATTATAGGCGTGCGCCACCATGACCAGCAAATGACTTTTTTTTTTTTTTGGTAGTGGAGATTGAACTCGGGACCTTGCAGCACTTACAAAGCAGGTGGCAGCAGAAGCACTGAGCTAAATCCCCAGCCTCCCAACAAATGATTTTTTAAAAAAAATATGAGCAAAAGCCTGGTATAGGGGCACATGACTGTAATTTCATGGGAGGGTGACGCAGAATTATAAGTTCTAGCCTACAGCCTGGCAACTTAGTGAGGCCCTATCCCCCAAAATAAGGGGGTGCTGGGGATGCAGCTCAATGCGAGGGTCCTCAGTTTAATCCTCAGTATCACACACACACAAAAGACTGGGAAGCTTAGCAGTGGTTGTCAAAACCGCCAGCTGAAAGGCTGCTAGTAGATAGCGCGAGTGTTCCGGCAGGTGCACAACTGCTTTTGTCCCCCATCTGATGCGAGGTAAGGTGTCCATCGCTGTCCCAAAGGTGACCCTGCCACAACTGCTTAATCTGAACCTTGAAAAGCTTTAAACCCAGTTTCCACTTCAAAGGGGTTAGAGGAATTACCACCACAAGGTAAGGATCAGGCAAGACCAGAATGCAGGACACCGCACAAGATGAAGGGGCAGGATACATAAAACAAACTCAAGGGGCCTAACAACTAGCTGCCACTGTGTGAGCCCCGACTGCATTTAGGCAAATAAAAACATTGCGAATGTTCTGCAGGGTGCCCCAGCAGACTCCCAACAGCTGTTTGCAAGGTGGGACAGGAGATGGGTTGATCAGGAGAGACTTTGGGTCCTTCACAGTTACAAGCTTCTTTGGGGGAAATCTAAGTGTGACTTTAACTTGTCTGCTCCACCTACACTCACACCATAAACAGCCCAGTCCATGAATTACCAGGGCACAGTCCCCGTCCAGATAGGAGGCCAACTCAGGAGGCCACAGGCAGGAGGGGGTCCAGAGACAGCGTGAGTACGCTGGACAGTCAGTGCCTCCCAGCAGTGGACAGCCACCCTGGCTACCCTCCAGCCCCCAACTATATCCCACCTGCAGTCTCGGGGACAGGGAAGCCAGCATTCACCAGCCTGACAGCGAGGCTGGGACCCTCCCCTCCACGTGTAAGTCCAGCCTCAGCCCCTCCTGTCAGCCGAGCCCCTCCTCAGAGCCCCAACCCCACACCAGTACACTGCGCACTTCCTGTGCCCCCCTGCGCCCCACGGCTCACCACCACAGCATGAGGCCTTTCCTTGCAGCTTCTGTTCTTGGATCCCTGGACCCCAGGACTCACCATAGCTTTCCGGTCCTCCTCGGCCATCTTGAGACGCTTCTGAGCCTCTTCATAAGCCTGGGCGAGGCGACCAGGAGGGTGAGGCTGTTTCACTTTAGTCCCAAAGTCTCTTCACATTTTCCCTCTTGGTGAGAGCTGAGGCCTGAGCGGTGCCTTAGCCCTAAACCCACAGGGGTCCTCCCTCTCCCCAGGCCTTCACAGCCAGCCCGAAGCATGCAGCGCCTGCTCCCCACACCTTCTTATCGGACCGCTCCAGGACATTGCGTGTCCGATCCTTGTCCCGCTGCCGCACCCGCTCGGCAAAGGCGTCCCGCTCCTCCAGGTCCTGCAGCCGCAAGCGCTCGGTCCGCTCCCACTCATCCTCCGACTCCGGTGTCTTCTCTGCCTGCCGCCGGCTCCCCCTGCGGCCCAGCTCAGGAGCTCACCCAGGGCCAGCCCCCAAGGCTCTGCCCCACCGTCCTGCCCGGCTCTGAGCCCTGCTTCCAACTTACGCTGTCTTCTTCCCGCTCTCGGAAACCGCCTCCCGCTCCTGCTCCTGCTCCTGCTCCTGCTCCTCCTCCTCCTCCTCCTCCTCCTCCTCCGGTCTTTTCTTCCTGAGGTGCTTCCGCTTCTTCCGCTTCTTCCGCAGGCTGTTCCCTGCCTTCCCCACGGTCTCCTCGCCGCCGTCCTCGCTGTCTTCCAGAAGCTGGTAAGATCTGCTCTTCTCCAACAGGGCCCGGGCCTCCCGTTCCGCTGCCCGCGCTGGCTTTTCTGCCACTGCCTCTCGAGGTACCTGTGCGTCGTGGGGAGACGGTGGCTGTGACCTCTGCCCCACACCCAGCTCCACACTCAAATTAAGGAACTAGTGGATTTATCTTTTTCTCCTGACGCTGAGGATTGAATCCTGGACCTTGGGCAAGCGAGGCAAGCACGGAACTCCACCCCCGGCCCGGGACGACCTGATGTCAACCATCTCGGTCCCTCGAAGGTGAGCGGTCTGAAGCAGACGAGGCAGCTGCGGAACGCATCCACTTCACACACACCTGTGGGGGCCCAGCCTGCGCGCCAAGTACCTACCAGGTACCACAGATACGGGAACAATAGCAACAACAACTCCCTGCTTTGGCTGGGCGGGATGGTGCACAGCTGTAACCCCAGTTTCAGGGAGGCTGAGGCAAGAGGATTTAGTGTGAGCCCAACCTGGGCAATGTAGCGAAGGCTTTAGCTCAGTGCTAGAGCACCCTGGGTTCAAGTCCCAGTGCCAATAAATAAATGAATAATTCCTGCCTTCAGAGCTGACACTCCTAAATTCAGTCATCAGCTGTTCAGCCTTTCTCACGGCTCTGTTCTTCCCAAGGATCAAGCCATCCCTATCCAAAGGACATGCTGCAAGGATTAACCTGCAAAGTACATTGTTTTGGCAACACTCGGGATTGGATTCGGGGCTTCACAAAAGCTAGGCAGCGCTCTACCGCTGCGAAGCATTCTCAGGCCTTATTTTATTTTGAGACAGTCTCACTAAGCGGGCCATGCTGGCCTCAAACCAGTGATCCTTCTGCCTCGCTTCCTGAGTAGCTGGGGGGTCACTCTGCAATACAACAACGTATGTCAAAGGACACAGGATGGAATGATGGGCAAAACCCACATCTCCACTCCTCACGGCACTTTTCTGGCTTTTTAACCCAGGGCCAAGAGCACGTTAGGCAAGCGCTGTACCACCGAGCTGGGCTCAGCCCAGGCACTTACACTACTTCCCGCGGGCTCTACGCTTCCTGAGCACCAGTCCTGCTGGGCAGGTGAGACAAGCCAGGAAACGCAGGCCTGCCCCCCAGGAGCTCACCTTTTGGACTCTCCCCTCCCGCATTCCCGACTGACGAGTCCCAGAGACTCTTGGGCCTGCTTGGCCCGATCACGGCCCCGGCAGCGCTTCACACAACTCTTACAGCCTCGCTATTCGAAATTCGGCCCGCGGACTCTCACTGTCACTCGGACGCTTGTTAAAAATGCAGACCCAACGCCAGGCGTGGTGGCGCACGCTGGTGATCCCGGCACTCAGGAGGCGGAGGCAGGAGGATCACGAATTCGAGGCCAGCCTGGGCTACACACTCAGTTCGAGGCCAGGCTGAACTGCACAACAAGCCCCACCCGCTAAAGGGAGTGGGGGTGCTAGGTGTGGTGCGCGTGCCCGTAACCCCCTTCGTGTGGGAGACTGAGGCCAGACTCAAGCCCAGCCCGGCAATTCAGAGAGAGCCCGGCTTCAACACAAAAAGGAAACAGCGCTGGGAAGCGGCTTCGCTTCCCGATCGTAACACGCGCTTGGCCCCGGAGCGGCGC